AGCCGATATGTTCCATTCCCTTTTATTAATTTTGTAGCCCACCTCTGCACTTTTTCTAGTGCCATAATATCCTTCTTTAGAACACGTGCCCAAAATTGCACAGCATATTCAATATGGGGTCTTACCAGTGATTTATAAAGAGGCAAAATGATATTCTTGTCCCGAGAATGAATGCCCTTTTTCATGCATGACAATACCTTACTGGCCTTGGCCACTGCTGATTGACATTGCACATTGTTGCATAGTTTGTTGTCTATAACAATTCCCAAGTCCTTTTCATGTGTTGTTATCCCTAATTCGCTTCCATTAAGGGTATACGTTGCTTGTGTATTCTTTACGCCGAAGTGCATAACTTTGCATTTTTCAACATTAAATTTCATCTGCCATTTGAGTGCCCAGTCCCCTAGTCTATCTAAATCCCTCTGCAGCAAAATAATATCTTGCTCACATTGTATTGTTTTACAAAGTTTGGTGTCATCTGCAAACACTGAAACATGACTTTCAATGCGGTCTTCAAGATCATTTATAAACATGTTAAATAGAAGGGGTCCCAGAACAGACCCCCTGAGGGACACCACTTGCCACCTCTGTCCAGCTTGAAAATTTACCATTAATGACAACTCTTTGTACTCTGTTTTAAGCCAATGTTCTACCCAAGAACAAGCATTTTCATCTAGACCGATTTCCTTGAGTTTGAACACTAATCTATTGTGTGGAACTGTATCAAATGCCTTGGCAAAAATCCAAATAGATCACATCCACGGCAACACCCTGATCTATACTTCTACTTTGTTTTCTTAGGGCGCAGCAGTTATCGGTAAAAGCCTGTGGGTGTGCCTGGGCACACCCTAATCCCCGTGCGCACGCCTATGGCTTGAGTCCTGCAGGAACAGCGGTCCTGCACTTTTTTTGAGCAGGAACGCTGTTCCTGCAGGCACTCAGCGCCCCCCTGTCTCACCTCTTGCCCCTGTCATGGGGGAGGGGGGGCAAGAGGTGATGGATAACCCCCCCGCCCCGCAGTTCAGCCGCGGCGAAGAAGCTCTCTGCTCTCTGCTGTCTGCTCCCTCTCGCCGCGCGCTGATGCCGGGAGCCGGAATATGACGTCATATTCCGGCTCCCAGCTCCAGCAGACAGCCCGCGCGGCGAGAGGGAGCAGACAGCAGAGAGCAGAGAGCTCCTTCGCCGCGGCTGAACTGGAGAAAGGCGCCCGCCCCCACTGGACCCCAGGGACAAGTCCAACAGCACTCCAGGTAGGAGGCTGGGTGGACATTTAAAAAAAAAATATATATATAATAATGTGTGTGTGTGAGTATGTGTGTGTGTCAGTGTGTGTGTGTCTGTGAGTGTGTGTGTGTGTGTGTGTGTGTTTCTGTGAGTGTGTGTCTGTGAGTATGTATGTGTGTGTGAGTGTGTGTCTGTGAGTGTGTGTCTGAGTATGTGTGTGTGTCAGTGTGTGTGTGTGTCTGTGAGTATGTGTGTGTCAGTGTGTGTCTGTGTGTGTGTGTGTTTCTGTGAGTGTGTGTGTGTTTCTGTGAGTGTGTGTGTGTTTCTGTGAGTGTGTGTCTGTGAGTATGTATGTGTGTGTGAGTGTGTGTCTGTGAGTGTGTGTCTGAGTATGTGTGTGTGTGAGTATGTGTGTGTGTGTGTGTGTGTGTTTCTGTGAGTGTGTGTGTGTTTCTGTGAGTGTGTGTCTGTGAGTATGTATGTGTGTGTGTCAGTGTGTGTGTGTGTCTGTGAGTATGTGTGTGTCTGTCAGTGTGTGTGTGTGTACATATATATACACATATATATATATACACACATACACACGCAGAGCCGGCGCTATCTGAGTGCCGGCTCTGCTCTAAGCCTTCATGGGCCGGCGGGGAGACCAAAGATCTACCTCACCGGCCCACAGCAGCTTGGAGGGAGGCAGTAGAGGACCCAGGGAGCTCTAGACAGAAGCTCCGCCAGGTTCCTCTCGCGATATCTGAGCGTTGCTGTGGCAACGCTCAGATCTCGCGAGAGTTAACTCTAGCCCCGCAGGCTAGAGTTCACTCTCCACTGTACCACCAGGGATGGCACATGGCAGCAAGGATTTACTAATCTGCCAAATCCCTCCAAACATACAGTACACACACATACAGCACCTACACACATACAGCTCACACACACACAGTACACTAACCGCACCCTCACAAACACACACAGCACCTTTAAAAAAAACACAACACCCTCACACACAGCACACTAACAGCACCCTCACAAATAGCACCCTCACAGGACAAACATACACACACAAACAGCACAGTCACAAACACGCACCCTCACACACACATAACACTAACAGCACACAGCACACTAACAGCACACACAGCTGTGTGTGTGTGTTTATATATATATATATAGAGAGAGATACATACACACGCGCGTGGCGTGTGTTTGTGCTTTAGGGTGCACACCCTAATGCAATTGGCTGCGCACGCCTATGCTTACTTCTTCGTAGAACGCAATCAAGTTAGTTTGACATTACCTGTGCTTCATAAAACCATGCTGATTTTTGCTGATAACCATGTTCTTCTCAAGGAATTCTTGAATATTATCCCTTAATAACCTTTCAAATATTTTATCAGCCACAGAAGTTAAGCTCACAGGTCTATAATTTCCAGGCAAGGATTTTGAACCCTTTTTGAATATAGGAACCACATCTGCCTTCCTCCAATCCTCCGGAACACTTCCTGAAAGAAAAGAATCTTGATTAAAAACAGAGGTTCACTTATTTCTGCACTTAGTTCCTTAAGTACACGTGGATGGATACCGTCAGGCCCTGGAGCTTTGTTTATATTAACTTTCTTTAGCTGCTGCAGCACCTTGTCTTGAGTTAACCAATTACAATTATTCTGCAAGTTTTTAGTAGCAATCATTTGCACATCTATTGCCATGGGTTCTTCCTTAATATATACGGAGGAGAAATAGTTATTTAAAATTCCTGCCTTTTCCTGGTCTTCATTAATTAACACCCCCGTTTCAGTTTTTAGTGTACCTACACTTTCATTTTGGGGTTTTTTAGAATTTTCCTTTTTATTTTTATTTTATTTTCCTTCTTTCTCCTTTTTTACAAATACTCTGCTCCTTTCTCATTTTTTACAAGTACTCTGCTCCTTCTTTCTCCTATTCTTCAAGTACTCTACTCCTTCTTTCTCCTATTATTCAAGTACTCTGCTCCTTCTCTCTCCTATTTCCCAAGTACTCCACTCCCTGCCATCGTGTATCCCCCTACCTACTCCAACTCCTCCCCTTCCTCTACCCGCGTGTTACACTCGTTCACGAGTGCACGCTTATGGGCGCAAATGCGCGTTCAGGCACACACGCTCGCACTTTCATGCACTCGCATCTGCAATCTCTCACATCCTGCTTACCACTGCAAGAGAGTGTGCAAGAGATGAATAAAGCGTTCATCTCTCTGGATGGAGGGAGGATTCTGCTACCGCCCACCTGGAATCCCAAAACGCCCACTTGTGGGCGGTAGGAACCAGGTTGACGACCCATGCTCTACAAGGTAAAGCACCAATGAAGATGTCTATGGGTAGCTCATCAACACATTCATTTAATATCCAAAAACAATATTTTAGTTACATCAATATTTCATGAATGATACAAAGAAATAATGATGAATGCATATTTCAAAAATTAATGCAAAAAAAATAAAAAATGCTCCCAGGAACACGATCTGTGCCACAGTAGTTACCGAGAGGCATAGCCAATGAAACATCTGTACAAGAGAAAAATTTGTACTGGCAGGTCAATAGTCCCATTCGCTTTTGAGAAAGTGAAGTTCAAGCATATAAAAGGCATTTGTTTATGTGATGTAAATAGAACAACCCGAACTCCAATAAAGCCCAGACATGTTTTGGGGGGCTGAAGGCATTGACCAAAATTTGATTAAAAAAAACAGAACCAGCATTAAACATTAGCTTGGAAAACAAAGGCTACCACATGCTTCCAAAAGAAGTAGTTCCCACCATTATTTGCCATGAGATCTAGTCCCATGTCCTTCCTCACAGAGCTTGTCCTCCCAGGGCCCAGAGTATGGATTCCAGTAAACTTGGAGATTGTGCTAGCCAGGATCCCTGAAACTCTGACAATAAAAGAAAGAAAAAAAAAAATCAACCAATGCACAAACAGGAGTGACAGGCGGGAAACCATAATAGACCTGTTCTACCTTACAAAGGTACAAAAACTGTAATCCCATTTCTTGATTCTAAACCACAACATTATTTGTAAGTAATGGAAACCAGGCCCAATCAAGTTGTGACTAATTCTGACTGACATGAATAGCTGTGCAGTCGAGAGCCCCATTCCTCAAATGGTCCAGGGGTTTTCTTTCCACTAACATTGTAAAGTGAAAAATGATAAAAGGCAAAGAGCGTGATTCATGTATTGGTGCAGCATAGGCACTTTTGTCAGGGGCTGATAAACACATAAATGGATCATTACTGCTGTGGCTAGCTAGTATATTGAAGATTCCCCTCTCAATGACCGAAGTATAGGGATTGGTTTGTCATTACATTTCAGCTCTGATAGAGGTGGTCCTCTAGGCATTTTGAGAAATTGTATCCTCAATATTTTGCTCTGTCCATATGACAGAATTATTAATGTCTGAAGAAGATTAACAAGTGTATTGAACTCATCAGGACTCAAATGCATATTTGATTTATATTTGACACTAGTGATGTCCCGAACGGTTCGCGAACGGTTCGCCGAACGGTTCGCGAACGGTTCGCCACGGACTCATATTGAGTAAACTTTGACCCTGTACCTCACAGTCAGCAGACACATTCCAGCCAATCAGCAGCAGACCCTCCCTCCCAGACCCTCCCACCTCCTGGACAGCATCCATTGTGAAGCTGCATTCTTAGTGAGCTGTCCAGGAGGTGGAGGGTCTGGGAGGGAGGGTCTGCTGCTGATTGGCTGGAATGTGTCTGCTGACTGTGAGGTACAGGGTCAAAGTTTACTCAATGATGAGTCCGTGGCGAACCGTTCGGGACATCACTATTTGACACAAGCGGCGTTTTTACTAAACTGCTGGGAATTCAAAGTGAAGTACAAATGTAGTCAGCTGTGTTTTCATTCAGCTATTTAACCCCTTAAGGACCAAACTTCTGGAATAAAAGGGAATCATGACATGTCACACATGTCATGTGTCCTTAAGGGGTTAAGCTGTGTATTATACTTTGTATTATGTTTTAATTCCAAACCCATTATCCCTTTAGTGAATATTCTTGGTAAAGTGGTTGTCTGATATATCATCTTGGCCAATCACTACAAGATTTTATTAGAAGTACTAATAACAGACTTTATACTTTTATTTTAATTTTGCCTACTATATGTCCTTACATCTAGTTCAGTCATTTAATATTTACATAATAGGTTATGTGTCTGTCTATTGATTTTTTCTGTTATTTCATTATGTTATTTTAACAGGTTGTTGCTTTATATATAATTAGAATTAGATAGCTATTGGATCAGATCCTTCACATTAGATATGAGAAATATTAAAGGGACAATATAGTCACCAAAACCACTATAGCTTAATGTAATCCTGCATAAAAGCAGCAATAAACGCTCAGTGGAGACAGTACTTCTTGACCCTCAACACGTAGGCTTGTCTCGTGATTGGAGGGGACAGCTATACTCACACTGGGGATTGCTATGCTCTGCATACTCCCCTGAGCTTTAATCACTCAGCTCTTTTAAGAGCTTGTTCCTGATACGCTCTCCTGGAGGAGAGGTCTTCCCCACACGGTCCTGGAGGACAGAAGCTGATCCAGGGTAGACAGAAGACGGCGAGACTCCAGTTAAGCTACGACGGTTGTGGAGTCTGCTGTGGTTGTGGTGTCCGGTGCCGTGCTTGTGGTCCTCGGCGCAAGCTAGGAAGCATCCATCAACGGAAGGTACTCGGTCGGAGTACGGGGAGTTCTGTTACACACTCTCACTAACAAACACACACTCACTAACAGACACACTCTCACGAACTGACGCATACACACTAGCTAACAGACACGCACATTTACTGACAGACACACACTCAGTGACAGACATACATACACACTCACATTTTTTTTTTTACATTTAATCCCCAGCCTCCCTACCTTTGGGAGTGCTGAGGGGATTCCAGCTTTCCCTGGGGTCCAGTGGGGCTGCTGGGTGGTCACTACAGGCGGCGAGGGAGCACTGATCCTCCTGTTCAGCTCCCTCGCGCGCCGCTTACTGATGCCGGAGCCGGAGTGACGTCATATTCCGGCTCCGGGATCACTCCAGTGCGCGCAAGGGAGCTGGGCAGAGAGAGCTCAGGGGGGAATGTTGCTGGGATTGGACACATTTTGACAGCAGAGCTCCACCTTTTGTCAATGTTTGTCAACCTTTGCTTTACAGTAGCTTTGCATTGCGTGGGAATTTTAATGAAATTCCAACGCTGTATGCATATTTTTTAAAGATAGTATCTTTAGGAACATGAGAAATAGAACCGCTTTAATGATACATCTTTGGAGGAGGAGGGGCAGGATGCATTGTCTTTGTTCCAATGTAACCTTCAACTCATGTTAGATCTCCAATTTACTGTGGTTAATGTATTACCTTTGACAGGATAATAAGATAAACTATGTTGAAAAAATAATGCTGTACAATTTTTCCAAGATTAAGTTTTGAAAGAAAGTTTTTCTCTATACAAATATTTGTATGCCTATTATATACAATAAATGTCTCTCGAACAATGGTTAACCTTTACACATCTGTAGTACCAAAGATAGCTATCCCCGTTCTAATTCACTGTTTTATGTTTCAGAGGATATACCTAAATTGTTTTAAATGTTGTGAATACATTTCTGGTACTGTGTCCTTAGTAAGTGCAAGTAAATATAAAGATTAGCAGATTGGTCTTAAAGGATCAATCAGTAGAAAGACATACACATATGCATTTATTTCAAACAGCGTGTTTCATGGCTTTTTAAATGTCTGCCCCCTCCACCTTGTAAAACTGAAATAAAATCTTTCTTTCCACGTCGTGCCAGTCTCTTCATGGCCATCACTCCTCCCCTGGTTGAGGTCATCATTGACGATAATCTTACCCAAACCAATACTTCCTCATTGGGAGGCCACTCTGTGCCAATTAGCATCTCCTAACATCTCCTTAATGTACTTCTATAGGCAGCGTCGTAATTCAGAGTGTTAATATGCTGAATGTCAACACTGTAATAGGAAGCACCTCTAGTAATGCTGTGAGTGACAGTGACCTTAGGGATAAAAGAAAAGGCAGAATTTACAAATGAAAGACTGCAGACAATCTCCTTGCATTAAAACCACTATGTTAAGCTGTAGTGATTCTGGTGCATAGATTGTCCCTTTAAGAATGTAAAAATATTTATATAAAGATTCTCCTTGGATATTGATACATTGATTGCTATTTTTAACATCACTTTTATTTTATTAGGGTGGTTGTCTCATACGTCCTTCCTTGTGTTTGTATGTATTACTCCATATTTTACATCACAAGAATAGTGCTTACTGTGGTTCTTCACGGTTTATTTACATTACATCTTGCACCATTTACATATCTGATATCATGTCACGTCACTAGAGCACTGAGTTGTTTTCTTTAGTGGCGTGATTTCCAATACATGTAGTTTATGACATACCAAATACATACTATAGAGTTGGTACATTGATATAACATTCTTTACTTTTTAGTTGCTAAAACAACCCACATGTCAAGTATCTGTATTTGAATATGGTTAAAGGAACGCTTTAAGCACCATAACCATGTCCCTGCACCCCATATTATAAGTAGTCAACCCATTTTGACACAATTAGACTTCTCATCTGACGTCTGCCAGGCAGCCTTCCCCCTGCATTGCTAAAATGGCTTAAAACCGTTTTGACTATTTACAAGGGGTGTGAGAGAGTAGGGTGCCAGAGCACTCTTGACACCATAACTACTACAGTAAACAGTCGTAATTATGGTGTTTGGAGTGTTCCTTTAATGGGGCAACTGCCTTGTGCATAACGCCTTTAAATAGTTTGACATTGGTGTGGTACAAAACCCTTAATGAGGAGGTGAAACTATAAATCTAAAGTGGACTTATTAACCCTCTGAATACTCTTACCAGGAGCTGAATTCACGGGGTTGTATGGCTGTGAGTCTTGCGGAGGATCCAATAAAAATCTCAAGTTACCACCTCCCTTAAAACATGGGGTATGTGCGACACGTGGAGATGGCGTACTAAATAACTGTACCATACACACTGACAATGGAATTGTAAGTCAAAATGGAGCGAGAGATGTGACAAGCACAGTCAGGCCTCCTATGGGGCTGTGCTAAGTATAAGTATAAGATAAGATAAACATGCGAGACAAACAGTGAAAGCTGATGCCAAGACAATTTCCTTATGTGCACGACACGTATACTATATCTGTACCCATTGCCGACTATATACGAGTCTAAATTTGTAATCTTGTATTTTGTATTGATGAAATCAATTTCCCCCTCCCTTTCTCCCTGTTTCTTTCTGTACCCCCTACATTGTGCAAAACAATAAAAAATGGTCAAATTGGAAAAAATCTCAAGTTACAGAGAACCAGAATAGGAAAGGGCAGACAGGTAAAAGTGTATAACAAAGGTTAAAGTCCGCCGAGGGACAGACAAATAAAACAAGTAATGGATCAAGAGGTCATGAGGATATGGGTAAATCTGTATTCATGCATTTTACCTGATGGATCCAAATGTAATTCGCAACATACAAAGTTATTTATCACATCCTCCAGTAAATGTACAGCAGAGTGCTATAGATCACATCAATACACGTTAGAGAGTTATCATGCATGTATAAGTATATATTGTTTTTCAGTGGTGACTAAAGCATATATGTTTCTCTTCAAAGAGGTGATAAGTCAGGATGTTGAGTTGTTGGGTCCCACTGATCTCTGAACTCAACCACAAATGTACGGTTTGGCTTCTATAATCATAGCTTAATGAAGTGGTCTGGGTGCCAAGTCCATCTATGGTTTAAGAGAAACTGCTATGTTTACCTTTGGTTTAATCCAACCTCTAGTGGCTGTCTCATTGACATCTAGCGGCGCCGGAAAAAAGGTAAGGGATTAACCCCTTCCTCCCCCTTCAGCGCCATGGGAGTGGGACCCTGAGGGTGGGGGCACCCTCAGGGCACTATAGTGCCAGGAAAACGAGTATGTTTTCCTGGCACTATAGTGGTCCTTTAAATGATTGTGTCCTAATAAGAGGACCTGATGGTGTGACAGCAAGTACCTTCTTCAAACTGTGCTGTCAATTTACGTCTCATTCTTTTTCTGTACTCTGGTCTGACAAACTAAATAAAATATTGAAAACTCACACAGTTGATCACTACATATACTATTTAATTAATGAATCATACCCTCTGGTGCATCACACCCAATGGTGATGACAAATCTTCCACACATGTAGTGAACTTTGATATTATGAAATTTGTGTATACATTGTTATCTCTTGGAAGAACTGTTCCTTATTAAACATTAAACGTGCATTTAAAAGGGAAGTTGTGAAGCTGCAAAAATTATTCAGTTGATTAATTTTAACATAACACCTTCCTCAGCCATTGACAAAATTGCCCCATCCACCACCTGACACTATAAAAATTATATGATCATAGTACCTTCAAAAAATCTCCTGATTGGAATATCTGGCTATGAAATCCAAGTTCCCTATACTGCACTCCTATATCTCTGCTATCTAACTTGCAATACAACTCTACTTCTCGAATAACCTCACTGTCATCCACCTCATCCAGCTCTTTGTGTTCTTCAAAACCTCAATCAAGTTAAAAATGTATGGTCAGTATATTGATTGTATTTGATAGTCTGCATTTAACAGAAAAGACAAACAGGGCTCTAGAACAGGATGCTCCACCCCTCCACCTTTGGTATAAAGTACTAAAATGTAGGAATAGAGACAACTAGAGAAGCAGACACTCTCGACTCAAGGTTGATTGCAGATGTACACCGACACTTAGACACACTGGCTGAACCTTGGCCTACATGGCAGACATCCAGCAACTGCTCGTGTCAGTAATACGCGATGAGCCCCTGCTGGAGATATGAGCTCCCTTGAAGTGACCTTACATCCCAGGTCATTTTGCTTTGATGGTGGTGCCTTGGTGTCTAGCCCCCCTGTTTACTTAATTTATAAGCAGTATTTGACAATAACTTATTTTTTAGCCACATTAACAAGCTATTGTTTTCAACGTATGCAAACTGATTGTGCTCAGACTCGTCTATCGCCTTCAAAGTAAGTATAAATTACAGTGCCTTGTTTGATGTACACTGGTATGGTAAGGAAATGACAGTGGAACAAACCTATAGCATAAGCACCAATACAACCTCAGTCCCCAAAAAACAATGAAACTGACTCACAGGGGGTTATAAAAATAAAGTAACTAAAAAGATTAGTAAAATAAAAAAATCCACACAGGATAACCAACTTTAATTAAGCTATTCATTGCACTGTTGGGTATTTGATAGGACAGGTACCAATTAGGTATAAGACAATCTCGTAGTCAGGTTAAGCCAACATCGAGGGCAGGCAGCACAAGTTCAGGAACGGTATAACAGGCAGATAGATCATCAGGCTCCATGGAGACCTTGGCCCTGGCATGGTATATACCAGGGGTAGGCAACCTTTTAGCAGCACAGTGCCGAAATGAGATTGTGATGTCTTGTAGCGTGCCGGTTCTATTTTTTTAAAATTGAGGTGTGTATGTTGCTGTATTCTACTTGTGTTATTTATATAGCTTTGTATCGTTGTATTTGTGCGTATATGAGCTATTATATTGTATATTTTCATGAGGAGTTTGTGGTATCGTGTATGATAACTATGAATGTGGGCTGTGTTTGGGGGCTGCTTGTGGAATTGTGTGTGTGGATGGATATGTCACATTGTGTGTTTGGTAGTGTGTGTATGTGTGGGGCTGTTTGGGGTATTGCAGGTGAGGGGCTGCATGTGGGGTTGTGCGGATTGTGTGTGTTTGTATTATTTGTATGAGGGGAGGGTTATTCTGCATTTCTGTGTATATCTATCAGTGTGGGTGGCTTCCCTGGGATCCAGTGGGGACCAGGCTGGCCAGGTACAGGTCAAGGACAGGAGCTCCAACAGCTGCTGTGGGCTGCTCTACTCCTGTGTGGATTCCCATTCACAAGTACTGGAATTAAGTGATCTGAGATCACTTCCTCTATGTGCTGCAATGCATAAATTGAGGATTGTCCTTCACCACCTTTTCGTATTGGCAGATATCAGAAGTTTCAGTTGGACTCCTGATAGGACAGAGAGGCCTGTTTGGTTCTAGCAGCCTTGAGTGCCGTGCAAAGATGCCTCGAGTTCTGTGCATGGCACACGTGCCATAGGTTGCCTACCCCTGGTATATATACTATATAAGGTGGGTTTTGCTTTTCTTTTTACTTACCCTTTTTCAGTGCCAAGACTCCCTCTGCTTACCTCTCCACCTCTTCCGACATCATCTACAAGGCATGGTTTTCTTCAGTGAGGCTTCAATCTAACGCTCCTCAAAGGAAAGCATTTGAATTCAATGCATTGTATTCAATATCACAGGAGCAGCAGAAGCGCCTCTAGTGGCTGTCTGCAACGTTTTACACCCAATCCACATAATTGGTATCAAGTGGTCTGGGTGACTGTAGTGGTCCTTTTACACAAATAGAAAATGGATCAGAAAAGAGAGAGATTTTTATAGATAGAAATGTTTACAAGTAAAATACAATAAACATGCTTTGAAGTATTTTAAATATTTTTTTTATGGGACAGCTGGTGCTGATAAATGATTTACAAGGTTGCTTATACTGAAAGCAGTGCAGCTGCACTAAGACTCTCATGTTATCGTTCTGTAACGGATAAGCAGTTTGAGATGTATCATAATGTACCCAAGGTAAGAATTCAAGCAACAGAACAGTCTGGACCTCATCCTTAAAGGGATCCTATAGTGCAAGAAAAACAAAGCCGTTTGCCTGGTACTATAGGGTTAATATGTCCCCCTCTCTCCCACAGCCCCCCCTCCAGCCGGGCTGAAGGGGATAAAAACCCTTCAGCCACTTACCTGAGTCCAACGCCCACATCACCCGGCGAGGGAGACCTAATGCGCAATTATTCAATGCTTTACTATGGGGAAAATCTGATGCTGGAGGTCCTTGAGGACGTCCAGCGTCAGATAATGGACCAAAAGTCCGTTTGGATTGCGGAAGCCCTTTAGTGACTGTCTGGTAGACAGCCACAGAGAGCAGACTTAGAGCTGTAATGTAAACATTGCAGTTTTCTTGAACTGCAATGTTTTTAATTGCAGCACTAAGTGCAAAAGGGTCACAGTACCCAGACTACTTAAATTAGCTGAAGTGGTCTGGGTGCCTACAGTGTCCCTTTAATACATTTCCAACACATGGTCATTTATTTATATACTGTCTTGATTAGGAGTGTGAAACATTTGGTCTTGTGTGTCAGGGTGGCAGTCCGGTGCCCGGAACCCAGACAGTGTCCAGGCGGCGGCGCGTGGACCGGGACCCAATATGCCTGATGATAAGTGGGAGTCTTCAGCGTGGAGGTGGATTAGCAGGGTCTGGTGCAGGGTAACCGCACGCCCCCTGGTGTTGAGCACCAGCGTTTGTGCAGCCACATACCAAGACCGTGATTCAGCCTATGCAGATAACAGGAACTAGGAGCTTGGAAATTAAGCAGACCTCCCAGGAGCTTAATAGGGAGGCTCTGCAGCAGGATTGTATCCAGTACTAGAAACAACGCAAGACTAAAGATAGGCACCAAACATGAAAACAAGACATAACTAATAGAACCCAGAACCAGAGAAGGATAGGAAGCTAAACCCAGAACATATACACAAGATATGAGGAAAACATGAACATAACATGGGCATGACTGGACAGGACTGTACATGGGCTGGGTATACAAACTAAAACAGGACAAGATAACATTGGCAAAACAAGAGGAGAAATAACGAAGTGCTACATATGAAAATCATGGGGATTTAGTCACACTATATGATCATACATTGCATAAGCCTGCCAACAACGCCAATGTACCCCATATCTGGCAGGTCCTACACTACCTAAAGTATGCTAAAACATCCTAAATAGACATATATAGCACTTACCTGCAAAAAAGGGCAGAAGCTTTGAGCAGCTGCCTGCAGGACTCTGAAACAGAAAGGAATGGTGGAAAACAAACGGGTGTGGCAACATAAAAACAAACATTTAAAGGAAACCTGGAGACTGGGAAATCCAGGGACGAACTATAGGAATGAACCCAGAAATCCCAGCATAAAGAAAACCAGACATAGAATAGAAAACCAAAAACCAAGAAAAACTAAACAAGAATTGTAACAAGAGTACTGGATACCAGAAGCCATTGCCAGACATCTTCACAGAACAGAGCAGGACGTGACACTGTGAGCTGGATAATGACTGTTAGACAAATGTATCTATCTGGCCTACAGTCCTAAAGTGCAGTGGCTTTATGTGGGCACCTCTTTCTAATTTTTCTATCTATCTGGCAGGTGCCATAACTACGTGAACACCACCCAACAGAGCTGATACCCAGGAGCTGTTAGGGAGGGCAGGTGAACTATTGTTATTCTGTCTCCAAGAACTTTGTGAAGGAAAGTGAGAGCTGAGCATTTCCCTACTCACTTCTTACGTCTCTTCTCCCTCAGTTTGATCTGGGTGTAAGACCTTGCAGTGGACACTAGTGGGATATGAATGAGTCCTTCATAGAGTCCTTGCAGCCCAGCTAATTATGAAGCAAAAGATACACCAAAACCTAATGGGACAAATGCTCAACTTTTGCACCTTCTCTCCACTAAATTTCCAAATATGATCCCACTTGATGAATGAAACAATCAGGATGGAGCTTAAAATAATCATTTAATAAAATATATGGGTTGGGGGTGTGGTAGGGGAGTAAAGCACACAAGGTTAGGCAGATTGAATGAATCACCCCTCACATTTTTGTAAATATTTTATTATATCTTTTTTTTTTTTCAAATTGTATTTTATTGGTTTTACAACAAGTGGGCAAAACACCGTACACAGTCGCACGTACACATACCATAACATATTAATAGTGCAAGTCGCAGCTTGCTTACAACATAAGTAGGTAGTTAATACAGTCTAACATAGTCATCATAAGGTATAGTTCACTAACTTGCCAGTTGGCATATCATATATCTGCAAGTGGTTGCGAGATGGTCCCGCATGCATCTGTGTATGGCATAGACAGAAGGGGGTAGTATTAAACTAGGGAAGGGATGGGTATGAGGAAGGAGACGGGAGAAACAGGACAAGGGGACAAAGTGTATTCTGCTTGGTGGCACGTTTCCCAAGATTGTTGATTGTCTAGAGGTCAGTATTGGAACCCAGAATGTCGTCTCACGTGGCTTGCTGATTTG